TCTTAACTGTCTTCAACTTTTTATTGATTTTACAATCGATTTAATTACTATAAACTAATAAAGTCCTCATTCGTATTCATTGCCTGCAATCATTTAAATATACAATATATATTTTTTTATAAGGCCATAGCAAGAAACAGCTTTAAACATTTATTACTCAAGTTTATGACACAAAACTTTGCAGATTTGCAAAACATAATTTTTTAAACTTATTTCGCCCTTCTTTTTCCAAAAATAGTGCATCATTTCATAATAACACTTACCTCAATTTCAAGGACGCAAAACAAAATTTCCGTTTTGCGAACAGATATAACTAAAAAATTTCTGCTCTTCATGAGTGTTATTTTATAGTGCAACATGCACTAACAAGAAATTCTTTTCCGCAACGTCTAATAGCATAGGAATTTTCTCAGTTATCAACAAACGCTGAATTTCACCCATTTCGCCTCTATTTTCTCCCATTATACTGATCTGAACGGAATTAGATTCTATTTAACATCATTTTGCGCCTCACGTCAATCCAATGGACTAAATAATTAACCTCAAATGTGTGTTAAGTCCCCCAACCTCCAACCTTTCATCAGATATGTAATCTACTGTATGTATGCATGTATATTGTTGTTTGAATAAACACTTTTTCCGCTGCCTTAGCAAAGTGCGAATTTGGTGCAAAGTTACTTCTCTGGCGTGACTGTTGACTGATCTGTGAGTGCGCTTGAGGTAAACAGGTGTTAAAAGCGACCTTCTATTTTCAGCACTCGATGAATCAACTTCTCAATCCTCGTTTTGCTGGACGATCGAGTGTGTCTAGCGAATTTAGCCAAATACTTCTCTGGCTACTGTTGAAGAAGACTAACTGGATTTGTGAGTCTGTACCGCACATTCCCATATTATACTTTTTAAAAATTTTATTCATTTTTGTCTATCGCCGTAGTTTGTAGTGGTTTAGTTGCTACTCTCTAGGTTTTGCGTTACACCGTTTTTAATACGTCTTATTCGTTCTGTAGGCATTAACTATAGTTAGCCGCCAGAGGGTGCAGCAGATCAAAGCCTGTGCGCAACTGCCACTTGAACATCAGATATGCAAGTGGAGGACCGCTTGAGTCGTTTGGTATTATGCGGTAGTGAAAAAAGCGTAAAGATTGAAGATAAGTCCGCTTGTGTCTTTTTGGAAAGTCCATATTTGAGTGTTTCAACTGCACACTCTCCCAGCCCATTTGAAGCCGCGTGGTAGGAGGGGGGGGGGTGATTAGATGCCTGACTCCGCTTTCTGCATAAATTCCTAAAATGCCCACGAATAGAAGGAAATATGCTTGCCCCAGGTTCTTGTTTTAAAGGCGCGATCACTAGGACAGCAATTGTATTAAGCTGAGCTTTCGGCTTCACACGAGAGGCCATCGTCAGTGTAAATGAGAGAACAGCAAGCATTGGCGTGTTCTTGTAGTCCAGCTACAAGTAAATGGGGGTGGTGGAGGGGATAGAATTCGTTATTGTTCCATACTCACGCCGTCTCATCGTATCGTTTCTGCGCGCGTCCTTGGCGTTATGGCGTGCGGCCTTGACACCCTGTCTTGCCTCCCTGGCGTGGCAGCGTGCGCGCCTGGACACGAACTGGGCTGTGCTTCTTGGTCATGTAGACGGATGCAAAATACCAGGGCGGTATATCCACATGCCTGTTGGTGGAGTTGGAATCTGACACGTAGACCTCCAGTAGTTTTCGTCCCCGTCTTGTAACTAGCACGTGCCATTATCCGCGTGCTCGTGAAGGCAAATTCGTGGCCTTCTTCCAGAGTGTGGGTAGCGATCTGAGGCAATGGGTGGCCGTAGCGCACTGCCTGTTTGTGCTCCGTTATTCGCGAGCTAAGTCATCGCCCGGTCTGCCCTGTATAGTGGCAAGAACTGTCGCGACATGGCACCTGATAAATGACGCCAGATTGCTCATCTACCTCCAGCAGGTATTTTATTTGACACGTGAACGCATGGTAAATGTCGGACGATGAGCAATACCCACATCGAGCTCTGCAGCAATACTTTCAGTTGATTCTGACACATTTTTTAATGTATGGTAGAGGGTGCCAGAGTGTTGGTGGCTCTTCTCCGTTTGTTCCCCATGGGCGCGTATGGAGGCAGCGGCTAACTCCTTGTCGGGTGGTCCCGAAGATGCCGTAGTTATTGCACTCGTCACTCAGGTTCACTGCAACGTGTTTTACCCTCGGAAAGTGTGCCCTAATACAGCCGCGTTTATGCGCCATCGGGTGGTTGTTATGGAGCCTGAGCACGTGGGTTGTGTTAGTCGCCTTTCTATACACAGTGGCGTTGAGTTTCCTATTGGGTCTGCAAATGATGAGGACGTCCAGGAAAGGCAGTTGTCCAACATTCCCTTCAACATTTTTGAATTGGTTATCGGGGAAGATGCGGTTAAGCAGGTTTTTGAAGTCTGCTAGCCTGTTCCGTTCGATTATAACGAAAGTGTCGTCCACATATCGGCACCAGAATGCAGGTTCGAATTGACTGAAGCCCACCTTTTCAAGCTCCTGTAAGACCAGGTCTTCGAGTAGACTGAAAATTGGCGCGGCTTTCGAATTTGAGCCACCCATTTTTTTTGCTCTCCATTC